AGATAGATAGATAGATAGATAGATAGATAGATAGATAGATAGATAGACAGACAGACAGACAGACAGTTGGTAGGTAAGTAGGTAAGTAGATATATATGATAGATGATAGATATGATAGATGGACAGACGATAGTTAGGTAGATAGATGATAGATACGATAGATGATAGATACACAGACAGATGGTTGGTAGGTAGATAGATGACAGATAAGACGGTAGACAAATAGATATGTGGAAACATGCCGGCCTTCATCCTGCAGTGGATAAACAAAGGCTAAAATGATGACATATATATACACACATACATACATACACACACACACACACATATGCACCGAAGACAAATTCCTTGTGTGTCCAATCACACTTGGCCAATTATACATAAACATGTCATATATAGGCACATGCATACACATACACACACAGAGATGCACACCAGGGCATATTGGAGGCACCTGACCCCCAGTCATCTCCCGAGGGTCCCCCTCCTGGGGCCTCTCCCCCCCCCCCCCCCCCCCCCGGGGGCCCCCCCCCGGGACCCCCCCCCCCCCCCCTTCATCCTCATAGGGCCGGCCATCCCTCTCCCTCCCTTGATGCATCCCAGGCTGTGCCCCCTTGAGGTGGGCCAGGACCCCCACTCCCGATCCTTGGGACTGGCTTGCCCCCAAGCGGCCAGAGACCCTCCCCCACTTGACCCCCCAAGTTTCCTGGGACCCCCCCCCCTGAGCGCCCTCTGAGGGGAGGGGAGGGGGGGAGCTGCCCTGGGCCAAGCGCCCCTTCCCTTTGGAAAGGTGGGGAGGGTCCTGCCAGAGATCCGGTGCCCAGAGGAGCGGGATGCCGGGGGAGGGAGGAGGGGGGGAAAAGGGTCCCCTGAGGGTCCTGAGAGGGCCTTGTCTCCCTCGGGGTCAGGGGGCGGGGCCTGCGGCGCCCAGGAGGACCCCTCCCCCTTTGGCCACGCCTCCCCCGGCCCTCCCCTGTGAGGGGGGGGGCTCTGACAGAAAGACGCAGCGGGCCTCCCTCCCTCCAACGGCACCTCCCCTCCCACCGCGGGCGAAGGGAAGGCGCCCTTATTTCGGCCCGCCGCCCGCCTTTTTCCCGGTCCCTTCCGCCTCTTTTCACTCACTCACTTTCGCCTCCACCAGCTCCGCCGCCATCTTGGCTTCCAGCGTCCAACGCGCCGGGGACAGGTGGAGGGAAGGGGGGGGGGTGAGGCAGAGAAAGGAGAAGAGCCGCCGCCGTCACGTGACGAGGCCGCGCCAGCCAATCCCGAGGCTCGCCGGCTGGCGGCGCCTGCGCAAAGCGGCGTCGGCGGCAGCGGCCGGGCGCTTAGCACCTCCGACAGCGAACGCTCCGGGGCGGGGGCAGGGCGCATGCGCACGGCCGCCGCGGCGTCTTTTTACCCGTCTGGACTTTGCCCGCTCCAGCTGGAAGAAGTGCGCATGCGTTCAAGGAAAGCGGGGAGGGGGTGGGTTTGTCCCAGCCGGCCGTCTTCCCCTGAGGGGGGGATAAAAATACGCACGCGCAAGGAAAGGTTTTGACGAGAAAAACGCGACGCATGCGCCTGGGAGGCTGACAGCAACCCATCAGGGTCCGTCTCTCTGTCTCTCTCTGGATTCGTTGCACCCCCCGCTTGGCGACGCCCCTCCCTTCGAGCTCTTAAAGAGACATGGAGCCTTAAATTGGAATGAGGGGGGTGGGGAAGGGGAGGGTCTGGAGTGGGGAGGGGGCTTGTTTATAACGCATTTATATCATCCGAAACGCTTGCGTTTGCTTCAGCTTGAGGAGTTATTGGAGGGGGAAAAAGCCCTCCACTCTTGGGCGAACTACCAAACATGGGTGGAAAACCACGGAGGATCGATAGGGGGCGACAAAACGAGAGAGAGAAAGAGAGAAAAAAAATGGAAGTCTGTGCTGCCATCTAGCGGCCATTCTGGGGGTTGTAGTCTAGATTGGCAACCACAGCCAAGAGCTTACCAGCTGCAATGCAGGCTATTGACCCTTTGAGTTGGAAAGGGATCTCTGAGGCCATCTAGTCCAGCTCTCCGCTCAGGGCAAAGACCGTCTCCTTGAAGACCTCCAGAGAAGGGGATGGGATGGGACCACTTCATGTTGCACCCTCCTCGCTGGCTGGCGTCTCATGTAGTCAGGCGTTCTTCCTCCTCCTTCCTTGAAGTTCTACCCTATTAGCTTCTTTTTAAACATTCTACATTAAATGACAAGATAACCTTCTGGTAATGGCTATCAAATTATAGCCCAAATTTCTCAAGAAAAGATCTGGCCAAGCTCTTTTTTACAAAATGAAATAACTTGTTTAGTACATTCCGGGAATGCTGGAGATGTAATATATCTTGAACAAGCTGAATAGCTGTGCTTCGCTACGAAACTTAGTTTTTGGGGAGGAAAACAAGGAGAAAAAAAATTCTGCCTCTGTCTACCAGCATCCATCGGTATTCATCTGGCTAGCGTCCTATCAGTGTGAGAGAGAGTTGAGGGCTGTTTGGAAACTGAAACAGTATTTGCTATGTGAGCAAGGAGACAGCAAGAAGCCTGGGCATGGCTTAGGTCAACTGTTCTGTACTAAAGCTGCTTGGTGCTGCTGTGAAAGTAAAACTGAAACTCCTCTCCTCTGCTTGTGTTTTGCATTTGGAAGAGATTTCTTTTCAGATGGGGAGGGAGAGTAGAACTCCTTAGCATCAGAGCGTGTTAATAATAATTATATACAAAATACAAATGCTCTGATGGTCATTTGGAAAAACCCTTTCTTAGTGAGCACCTAGAAGGCAAGAGGAACATATGTGCCAAATGTCAAGTTTGTAGGCTTTATGGTTCGTGAGATTTTGTGATGATGCGTGAGGGGTATTTCGCTTTTACATATATAGAAGATTTGGAAAAACATTGGTGAGGTGCTGTTTGGCAAATTAATCAAGTATAGGTTGGGATATGCAGAAAATCTTTGACTTACAACCACCATTGAGCCTAAAATTTCTGTTGCTAAGTGAGACATTTCTCAAAGTGAGCTTTGCCTCCATTATACGACCTTTCTCGTCACCGTTCTTCAGTGAATCACTGCAGTTGTTAAGCTGGTAACACGGTTGTTAAGTAAATCTGGCTTCCTCCTCGACTTTGCTTGTCAGAAGGTCGCAAAAGGGGATGACATATCTCGGGACTGCAACCGTCGTAAATATGAATCAGTTGCCAAGCAGCTGAATTTTGATCGCGTGACCATGGGAATGCGGCAACAGTCGTCAGTGTGAAAAATGGTCATAAGTCACTTTTTTCAGCATCATAACTTTGGTCACTAAATGAATTGTAAGTTGAGGACTACCTGTATAATTAGCTTTAAAACTGCTTATCAACAGTTCCCTGTTGAACTGGCATGTAGCTTTGAATGAGTTGTCCAAAGGATTCAAGTGTGATTCTCCATGGATCATGAGATGAAGAAAATGTTCATCTGGTTTACAAGTGTTGCCGAATTAAATGGGGTATCTAATACTTAGAAGACAAAAGTGCAGTGCAGATCATTGTGGCAGGGTAGGAAAGTGGAGATAATGTAAAAGGCAGTTTAAAATAGACAAATATAACATTCTTTCTCTAGGACAGTGGTCCCCAACCACCTGGCCCCGGACCGGCATTGGTCCGTGGATCATTTTGTAGCGGGCCGCCGCCATCTTGTTTCGTCGGTTGGAAAGCGGCGTTTGGGTGCTGAAGGAATCCTTGCGCCTTAGTTTCATCGAAGGGGGGGGGCGGCTTCGAACGAAGAGCGGTCCCGATGGCAGTGGAGTCTCGCATTACTCAGGAGGAGATTAAGAAAGAGCCCGAAAAGCCCATCGACCGTGAGAAGGTATAAAGGAGGAGTTGAAGGTGGCAGGGAGAAGCAGGGGACGGCTGGCTGGCCGGTCGCTCGGCTCGCCTTGCCTTGGTCGTGCGTGCTGATGCCGGTACCGGTCCGTGGATCATTTTGTACCAGTCCGTGGTACAAAAAAGGTTGGGGACCACTGCTCTAGGAAACCAAGTCCTGTCAGCTGCAGTTGAGTTGCTTCAACTCAGAAAGGTCAAACTGCCCAAGGAGCTGCTGACACAGTTCTACAGAGGAATGATGGAGTCTGTCATCTGCACCTCTATAACTGTCTGGTTTGGTTCTGCAACCCAACAGGACAGATACAGACTTCAGAGAATAATTATTAATGCAGAGAAAAACGATTACTACCATTACAACCTGCCTTCCATCGAGGGCCTGTTAACTGCATGAATTAAAAAGAGGGCTGTGAAAATATTTACAGATCCCTCACATCCTGGACATAAACTGTTTCAACTCCTTCCCTCAAAACGATGCTATAGAGCACTGCACACCAGAACTAGACACAAGAACAGTTTTTTCCCAAAGGCCATCACTCTGCTAAACAAATAATTCCCTCAACACTGTCAAACTATTTACAAAGTCTGCATTACTATTACTATTAATCTTCCCATCCTTCCTTTCACCCATCCTCTCCCACTTGTGACTGTATGTGTCAGGATTCTGGTAGTTACTCCAGTGGTAGGATTCATTTTTTTTTTACTACCGGTTCTGTGGGCGTGGCTTGGTGGGCGTGGCAGGGGAAGGATACTGTAAAATCTCCAGTCAGAGGTGGTATTGGCCGGTTCTCTGAACTACTCAAAATTTCTACTACTGGTTCTCCAGAACTGGTCCAGAACCTGCTGAATCCCACCTCTGAGTTACCCCAATTAAATCATGAGTCTCGAGCCAAACTTCCAAAACTTAAAAAAGGATTTATTGGAAGCTAACATGTCCGACACTGCCTGGGTGTAGCCAACTCTGAGACACATCATTCATTGTCAGCCTTGACCCTGGTTTTCCCCCACTCTTCTTGGTGTATCGTAATTCATATTCTCCAATGGGATGCATCCATAGCCAAGAGTCATCAATCATGTTCTCCAGTTAAGTTTTTGCATGGCCAGAAACTTCAGTCATCTAGTTACTATCTCTCAAAAGCTATGTATGGAATGCACTTTTGCTTTCTAAGCTGCCACACTGCTCTTTCAAACCCCCTTTGCCTCTCCCTTTCTGTTGGCAACTCTAAAAAGATCATAGAAATATTCTATGAGTTGACATTATGACTGTAACTTTGTCGCTTGTATCCTTACGATTTATATTGACTGTTTCCTAGCATGATTTGATTGCTTATTGTATCCTATGACTATCATTAAGTGTTGCATCTTATGATTCTTGACGAATGTATCTTTTCCTTTATGTACACTGAGACCACGTACATCCTTGTGTGTCCAATCACACTTGGCCAATAAAGAATTCATTCATTCATTCAGAATCAGGAACATCTAGCTTGATTGCAGTATTTGTTTAAAAAAACAAAAACCAAGAATGCAGTGGGGTTGTAAAAATACAGCTTTTAGACAACATGAAACAGAAGTAGAATTTCTTAAAACCACAATATTTCTGCATTATTTCGCTTGCTGCACTGTCTGATATTTCTTTCAAGGTCAAAAGACTGCAAGAACATGTCACCCCTAGTCCTTCTTTTCCTCAAACTAGACATATCCCAGGTTCCTGCAACTGTTCTTCATATGTTTTAGCATCCAGTCCTCTCATCATCTTCATTGCTCTTCTCTGCACTCTTTCTAGATGAGAAGATGTGGAGAGATCTGTGTCTCATAGAATCGTCAAAATATTGTCTTGGCTTTTTTCTTTTTTTTTCTTTTTGACCCTGCCCCATGGTCCTCCTGGCTGTTTATCTAACAAAAAAAAATGTTTATCTAACAAAATGAAAATCAATGTAGAGAAAAGTAAAGTCCTACGCTTAGGCAAGAAAAACCCAAAGGACACATCTAGACTGGGTGAAACCAGGCTCAATAGCAGGAACTATGAGAGGGATCTTGGAGTCTTAGTGGACAACAAGCTAAATAGGAGCCAGCCATGTGCAGCGGCAGCCAAAAAAGCCAATGCAATCCTAAATTGCATTAACAGAGGGATACAATCGAGATCAAGTGAGGTACTAATACCACTCTATAAAGCTTTAGTAGGACCCCACTTGGAATACTGCATCCAGTTTTGGTCACCACACTGTAGAAAAAATGTTGAGACTCTAGAAAGACTGCAGAGAAGAGCAACCAGGATGATGAGGGGACCGGATGGTGAATGGTTTCAGGAACTGGGCCTGGCTAGTCTAGGGAAGAGAAG